GCCAATGATAAAAATCCCAGCTTTTAAGTGGAAATTAAAGTTTTGGAAAATGTGCCCTTGCCACTGTGACCTTGACTGTTACCACATATTCAAAGACTCATCAGATAAAATCAGTAGTGATATAGACATGTGATTCTAAAATAGTTTATGTCGAAATGTGTCAACACTTGGAAGATCTGCAAAGATCAGTGAAATAATATTTTCCAAATGACCAGAGCATAATACAGTCATGCCCAGGTAAGAGATCCATTCAAAGTGCAAGACAGACTAGTGCATTTTATTGTAACTGGTATGAAAAATTCATTGCCATGGTTTCAAATTTCACATTGCAGCTAGCCTTAGAAACTACTATTTGTTGAGTTTGGGTATGGTATCAAATAAGAATATCCACAATTATCTAGAAAGGGCATTGAAATACGCCTCCATTTTCTAACCATTGCATATCTGGGTTAAGTTGTATTTTTTTATATACTTCCACGAAAATAAGGACCCACAACAGACTGAATGTGAAAGATGAGAATCCAGCTGTCTTCTATTAAACCAGACATTAAAGAGATTTGCAGACATGTAAAACAGTGCCATACTTCTCATTTTTTGGGGGGGAGGGAGATTATTTTTGAAGTAAAGTTCCTAAAAATAATATATACATATATATATACGTATATATGTATATATATATATATATGCTAGGTTAATTAATATACAACAAATTTATTATTGTCTTTTAAAATGAATTGATATTTTTTAAGTGTTTCAACTTTTAATTTCTGATAGAGTAAATATTGATAGCTATAAACCAGATAAACAGGAACTTCCCTGGTGGTCCAGTGGGTAAGACTCCTCGCTCCTGATGCAAGGAGTCTGGGTTTGATCCCCAGTCAGGGAGCTAGATCCCATGTGCCACAGCTAAAAGGTCCTGCATGCTGCTGCTAAGACCCAGCTCAGCCTCTGTGTGTGTGTGTATACAAACAAATAAACACACACACATGTGTATATAATAAAATTAGATGAACAAAGGCTCTTTGGGGTCTTTAATGAATTTAAGAGGGCAAAGGAGTCTTCAAAACTGCTGCAATGTGACATCAAACAGGAAAGGATACATTTTCTCTCTCTCTTTCTCTCCCTCCCTCTCTTTAAATCAAGTATAATTCACAGAAAATGGAAAGGACTCATTTTTGATCATGGTACCATCTGCAAAGTAGTAAAGGCTATTTTGAAAAATACCACCTACAATATTTGCTCACCAAAGAGTTTTTTAAGATCTGGAGGGTTTTGGGTTGTTTTTTTCCCCATTAAGTTTTCCACATTTTCATCAAGAATGTAAGCAGGTTGATTGGTTTTTCATCTGTTTTGAATTTTCTTGTAGCTGCTGTCAAGAAGTCCATGTTGTGACCTCCATGTGACAGCAACAGTAGAGTCTTGCATCACTGAGGTGTTGTAATTAATATAGCAGAAAAAAGATCTATGCTATATTCACGAGGAAGCACTAGCTTGTTACTGAGTCAAGTTTTTTTTTTTATTATTAAGATCTTCTATCTTATTTGGACACTTATTTTAGTAAGTGCTTTATTACAGCTTGCAGAATGGTCTTGAATAGAGATAACTTTATTGAAAACATATTGTTGGTTTGAGGCCAGTAATTTTTAAGGTAGGTTCAATTCAAGTGTAAAATTTTTTTTAAAGTTTTTGATCTCAAAAGCTATTGCTTTATATTGTACATATTAGTGCTAAAAAGAACTGCAAAATAATATAGTAAGGAAAAGTAGGAAGTTTGGTTGTTAGCAAGAGCAGATGATCTCAATACGTTTTCAAGGAAACATCTATACCTTTAAAAATAGTAAGGCTGGGAACTTCCCTGATGGTCCAGTGGTTGACTCCATACTTCCAATGCAGGAGGCATGGGTTTGATCCCTGGTCAGGGAACTAAGATCCCACATGCCCTGTAGCATGGGCAAAAAAAAAAAAGTAAGGCTCTGGTAGTAGAAATTATACAGAGAGAGGGGTCTCAAATGGAGGGAGGGGTATGAAAAGGAGTTAAATAAATGAAGTAATTATAGAACTGTATTAACAACAGTTTACTGATGAGCAGAAAGCTCTAAAGTAGTCTTGCTCTGGGGATTCCCTGGTGGTCCAGTGGTTAAGAATCCACCTTCCAATGCAGGGCACACAGCTTTGACCCCTAGTTGGGGAATTAAGATCCCACATGCTGTGGGGTAACTAAGTCCACGAGCCCCGTAACTAGAGAAGCCTTGATGCACCTCAACAGAGACCCAGAGCAGTCAAAATAAAGAATCAAATAAAATGGTTAATTAAAAATAAGAAGAAGCCTTGCTCTGAATAACTAGGAATGATTGCAATCATTACTCGAACTGTTTGTATATTTGTTCTCTCAAGTAGTTTAAAGAGATCTACAGTCTTGTTTACACTATAAATTTGCCTGACCATCCCTGTCCTTAGAGGTAACATAAATAACCTTCTTGAGCAGTGAAGTCTCAGAGTTTGTGAAATCTATTATTGGGGATCAGGAATCAATGAAAGTCTTCAATATTGGTCCTTGATTTTTGGTGGCTCAGCTGATAAAGAATCTGCCTGCAATGAGGGAGACCTGGGTTCGATCCCTGGGTTGGGAAGATCCCCTGGAGAAGGGAAAGGCTACCCACTGCAGTATTCTGGCCTGGAGAATTCCATGGACTGTATGGTCCATGGGGTTGCAAAGAGTCAGACGTGACTGAGCAACTTTCACTTTCTTTCACTTGATTTTTTATGGTAATAGTAAACATTATTAGGTATCAAGATAAACATTTTACAGTGCTAATTTTCAATTAGAAAACATTCTAGTAAAAGAAAACCTGAATTTCTTTTTTTTTTAAATTAATTTGTTTAATTTTGGTTGTGCTGGGTCTTCACTGCTCTGCAGGGGGCTTTATCTAGTTGGGGAGAGTGGGGGCTGCTCTGTTTTTGTGCACGAGCTTCTCGTTGCAGAGCGCAGGTCTAGGCCCATGGGCTTCAGTAGTTGCAGCTCACAGACTCCAGGACACGGCCTCGGTAGCTGTGGCTTAGTTGTCTTGCTGGCATGAGGAATCTTCCCAGACCGGAGCTCGAACCCATGTCCCCTGTATTGGCAGGTGGAGTCTTATTCACTGTACCCCCCCCCCCCCCCAGGGAAGTCCAAGAAAACCTGAATTTCTTAAGTTGAGGTTTCTCTAACTGTTCTGTGGGGCTGGATTCCACTTTATGGAGAAGACAGGCAGAGGGGCGGCAGTTTGGAGTGAAGTGATTTGTTGAGTTAGGCTTCCATGAAGTGGAACCAAGCGGTCACACCCTACGATTCTCCCCTGCACGTCCCTTCCAACTCTCTATCTAATCTGTCACGAAGGCGAGCTGAGTTTGAGTTCAGTCGTGCGAACCCATGGACTGTAGCCCACCAGGCTCCTCTGTCCATGGAATTCTCCAGGCAAGAATACTGGAGGGGCTAGCCATTCCCTTCTCCAGGGGATCTTCCCGACTCAGGGATGGAACCCAGGTCTTCTGCATTGCAGGCAGATTCTTTAGCATCTGAGCTGCCAGGGAAGCCCTCCCATCTGAAGTATAGTTGATTCCCAGTGTTGTGCCCATCTCTGCGTTGTGGCAGTGTCTCAGTTACACTCATGTGTATATTCTTTTCTTATAATCTGTTTGGTGCATTTTTAAACATTCTTTTCCATTATGATTTATCCCAGGATACTGAATATAATTCCCTGGGTTATACATCAGGTCCTCGTTCATGCATTCTAAAGGTAATAGTTTGCACGCTCGCTGATTCTTTGTTCATGATCTGTGGACTCTGTCCCTCTGCTCCTGGTTTTTCGCCTTTGGATTACTGAACAGTCCCCTGACTTCCAGCTCCTGGTGATGCTAAACCTATCTCTGGCAGTGCCCCTCCATTTGCAAGCCCTTCAGTGGCTCACTGGTGCCCACCAGAGAGTCTGGGCACCTTAACTCGGCATTCAAGGCCCTGGGTGATTCAACGCAGACCCTCTGGTTCCATCAGCCGCTGCCACTCATTCCCTTGCATCCTACCCCCACCTTGGTCTCTAGCAAGACCAGTCCACTGATTCCTGGTCCTCCCCCTGCCTTGCTTTAGCTGTGGCTGGAATTGGGGCTTCCCTGGTGGCTCAGAGGATAAAGCGTCTGCCTGCAATGCGGGAGACCCGGGTTCGATCCCTGGGTTGGAAAGATCCCCTGGAGAAGGAAATGGCAACCCACTCCAGTACACTTGCCTGGAGAATCCCATGGACAGAGGAGCCTGGCCGGCTACAGTCCACGGGGTCGCAGAGAGTCGGACACGACTGAGCGACTTCACTGTACTGTACTGTACTGTGGCTAGAATACCTGCCCGCTCTCAGTGTTCCAGACTGCCATTCTCAAGGCACTCTGCATGTTGGGGCTATGTTTTTATTCTTGGTTCCCCAGCCCCAGTCGCCATTCCTGCCCCACACTGTAGGCCTGACGCATGGTTGAATGTTGAATAGAGTCTGCGTGAGTCATTTTATTTGTTTGAAGAAAGTAGTATTTTGTAACTCTTCTCCCTCCCACTTCTTTGCCCCAAATTTCAATGAGCTTATGTTGAAAATTAACTTGCAAATGACCCTTAAGGTGCTAAAATTATGGCTGAGTTAACTCGGGAGTGTGTTTCATCTCTCAGTTCTTGGTATCCGCAGAAGACACTCTGCTTTGCATCAATACATTAAATATATCCAAACACCACGTTTCTAAACAGGAATAGGGAACGGTGAACGGATGGGTCAGAGTTCAATGTCTCAGGCAGTTTTCAAACCAAATTTGGTAATGTTGATTTAAAATTGCTCAACGAAAAAGCACCCAAGTACAATCATGGAAAATGTTAGAACTGCTTTCTAAGTACTGATATGTTGTTGAGAGAACTGTGCACTGAAGTTACGTTAATCACAGAGAAAGATTACAAGCTCTGCCTTTGTTTTTTTTTTTTTTTATATTAACAGGATCAATTTGACAACTTAGAAAAACACACACAGTGGGGAATTGATATTCTTGAGAAATACATCAAATTTGTAAAGGAGAGGACAGAGATTGAACTCAGCTATGCAAAGCAACTCAGGTAAGTTGATATGGAGAAAGGTTGTTTGTTAACTGCAGAATGAATGTAAGGGTCATTTATATCCTCATTTTATACCATAAATGTGTAAGCCTTTAAATATTGATTTTCCCTTTTCAGGAAAGCTTATATTTCAGTAAAAGCAATTTTTTCCATATAGAAAATTATTTTTCAGAGCACAGTAAACAGAAAAACCAAGTTATGGCTTTTATGCTCTGTTGCTTAAAAGGTTAGCAGCTGAATTTTGGAGCAGGTTTTTTTTTTTTTTTCCCAGAAAACTTTTTCTGAAACATAACAACAGAGAAGTATACATATCATAAGTGTATGACTCCAGAAACTTTCAGAGTGAATACAGTTATGTGATCAGCACCCAAGTCAAGAAACAGAAAATTACCAGCCTCAGCCCCACTCCCCCAGTCCTTCCTGGTTCACCCCCCTCCCCTGCCCCCGTGGTGGACTACTCTACTGATCTCTGACCACATGGGTTGGTCTGGCATGTTTTTGAAGCTTTGGTGAATGTTATCATTTGTTAGGCACTGTTTGTCTTTGGTTTCCTTTGTTCCTCTTTATGTCTGAGAGTTTCATTCATGTTACAGGTTGTGGTGTTTTTGTTTTGGGTGATGGATGTGTCAGAGCTTGTCTGGTCTACTGTCACCAGGAGATTGCTTGTTTCCAAGCTGGGGCTGTAAAGTACATGTCCAGGAGTGGAATCCCTGAGTCTTAGGCTTTGTGTGTGTTTAGATTTAGCAGACAGAGTCAGTTTTCTAGAGAGCTCGTCTGATTCATGTTCCCTCCAGCAGTGGCTGAGAGGTCCTCAGACAGCCCTTCTTACAACTCCAAGGACAAAATTATCCAAGAAGTTTGTGTCCTTACATAAAATATTTAAAAGTTGCTGGCAGAACTAAACTTGAAGTGGCAAGATCTTTAATGATTTCTTGTTTGATTGGTTTGTGCAGATTGTGAATATCTAGATGACTTTTGATTTAGAAACATTTCATTTTAATCCAAAGACCATCTGGACAAGGTGAATATCATGTATCTTTGAAAGAATCATCTTAAAGAGCTCTTGTTGTCATTTTCATAAGCACCTAAGTGGTACGTGTGGTATGGTACACTTCATGGATGATGAGTTTTGTTTCCATTGAGTAAATAAAATACAATATATATTGCTCAATGAAATCATTTTTATAAAGAATTTTTTATAAATTTACTATTTATTTGCTTAATAGTACAGCTGGGAAAGACTGCAGGCAACAGGAGACAGGGGCGGCAGAAGATGAGATGGTTAGATAGCATCATCGGCTCAATGGACATGACTTTGAGCAAACTGTGGGAGATAGTGGAGGACAGAGGAGCCTGGCGTGCTGCAGTCCGTGGGGTCACAGAGTTGGACATGACATAGCGACTGAGCAGAAGTAACAACAAATTTCTTTAATAATAAATACATTATTTAATAATAATTTGATAATTTACTTACCATGAATTAAATTGTCTTTATTTAATTTTGCTTAATAAAATTTAAGTAAAATTAAATTTACTCAATAAGAATTTAATAAATAAACTTGTTTTTATAAATAAATTTTATTCTAGATGAACTTCTGATGCCTTATATGTGTATCAGCCTCATTAGCAGTTTACAGCTTTGTAACTGACAGTGGGAGTGGCGAAGGAGCTGCTCCGTGTTGATTATTTAAACATTGCACTGTCATAAAATGCTGTCTTTCCTGTGGAAATGGGTTACATAACAGCTTTAGCCAAAGTGTGCTGTGCTCTCCTTAGTCTCGCCTGATGGATTTCCCTATTTTTGTTGACTTTTTCTCTTGCCGTCATCTCCTCTTTCCTGGAGCCTCCTCCACTGTCCTGTTTTGCTTGGGAGGTTTGCCATCCAATGTCATGAAATCTGTCCTCGGCAAGCTTCTCCATCGGCTCTATGTCAAGACAGAAAGGTGCTGCTTTTGCTGCCCTCTGGGAAGCACCTGTCTCCCAGCCCTTTCTCATCACTCTTTGTGAGCGAGGATTTAGATAACAAAACTGGAGGCTATTGGCAAAGACTCCCAATTCCAGCAATGGGTTTTGAGTAACGTTTAATGGCTTTCCATTGACCGTTTTCCCCTGTTTCGGATCTAGAATAGCAGTGTTACTGCTGTGGCCGTTATCTCTTGGGAAGTCCTTTTCCTGAGATTTAAACGTTAACATTTGTTTCACTCCATCCCTGCAAAGTATCTAAGTTTGTGCTTACGCTGTGTGCTTAGTCACTTAGGCATGTCCGACTCTTTTCGACCCTATGGACTGTAGCCCACCAGGCTCCTCTGTCCATAGGGATTCTCTAGGCAAGAATACTGGAGTGGGTTTCCATGCCCTCCTCCAGGGGATCTTCCCAACCCAGGGATCAAACCCCAGGTCTCCTACATTGTAGGTGGATTCTTTACCCTCTGAGCCACCAGGAAAGCCCTGTGCTTATGGGAGAGGTTGACAAAAACAGATAATGAGTAACTGAACCTTGCCTTCAAGACAATTACTAATCCTCTGGACATGTCTTCTGATCTTTGAGATCTGGGCAGGGCCCTTGGTGCTGAGGAGTAATCAGACTGTCTTTCATTGATCTGCTTTTCCATTTGCCTGAGTCTTTCATGGCTTCTCTTGCCACACATCCCAACATCTCCTTCCTATCTTCACTGCTTGCTTCGTGCTCCCCTGAAAAAATTGAAGAGGTCCAAGGAAAACGTCCTTAGAGTCTGACACTCTATAACCCACCTGTCCGAATCTGTTCCCACACCTGGATGCTCCTGCCCGAATCCCAGCCCACCTCTTACATACTAGGCTTTCCCAGAACTCTATTCCACTAGTTTTTCCTCCATCTCCACATTATCAGTGCTTAACTTTCTATTAGATCATCCCCATCTGCACAAAAACGCACCACTGTCTCCTGTCGTTGAAAATCCACAAAGAAAACAAAACTCCTTTTGAGCTCACCCCTCCTCTCCTTATTAAGCTCACCTGAGTGAACTGCTCCTTGGGGTGCCCATGACCTTCATCCTGTCCCAGCCGGTCGCCTGTCCTCAGTCCTCGTCATCCGTGACCCCTCAGCAGCTTTGATGGGGTGGATGCTGCCTCCTGGCATCTGAAACCCCCATCTCTAGGCTTCCTTCCTATCTCACCGAAAGCTCTTTGGAAGGCTCTGCTCAGCCTCCCCCGAGGTTCCTCGTCTCCTCCCGCCCCTTCACCCTGATCTGCCCCAGTGCCCAACTCCCGGTCATCTTTCCTTCTCAGTCCATGCTCTCCCGGCGATCTTGTCTGTCTCTTGGCTTCCAGGATGGTCTCTATGGCAACAGACATGTGTCTGCAAGCTAGACCTCTGTCCTGAACTCCAGAAGCAGGTTGCTCAGAATGTCCGTTTGGATGTCTAGAAAACATCTCACATGTAACGTATCTGAAAAGGCATCTCTCCACTCAAAATCTACATCTCTGCAGCCCAGTTCTCCCTCCCCCCCCCCGCCCCCCCACTCAGTTTCCCTCAGAGTAAATCGGAAATCCTTACAGTGGATGTCCTACAAAGCCAGCAAGAGCGGTCTCCCTCCCTCTCTGACATCTTCTCTCCCTTCATATCTCTGCTCTAACCATCCCCGCCTCCTTCTTCAATCTTGTACGTGCCAGGCCTGCTCTCGCCCCAGGGATGCTGCGTGGCCGTTCATATGGATCACATAGAGGTTTATCTCCCAGGATCCGCGTGGCCAACTGCCTCACCTCCTTCAAGTCTTTGCTCAAATGTCACCTGCACAGTGAGGGCCTCCTTGCCTCCCTGCTGTACTTTCCAGTTTTTCCAAAGTGCTGTTAACTTCCTAATATTGTATAATTCTCTTATATACTGTTCATCATCACCTTCCACTTCCTTCCTGCTAGAATATAAACCTCTTAAGGGTAGGGCTCCTTGAGTTGTGTTCACTGATGAATCCCCATAGTGTGGAACAGTGCCTGACACATACTCGGTACGTAGTAAATAGTTGTAGAAAGAGTGAATCAACGGGAACAGGTCTGCAATATTTGGTCAACACTGTTTCAAGGAAAATCACGTGTTGGCACAGGCATGTAAGAGCTGATGAGGGTTTAGCAACAAAACAGAACAACTAACAATGTGTCAACAGGGTTGGGGAAGTGGATTCTAGTGAAAGAGACACCGGAAGTGCCAGAGCCTGAGGGGCTCATCTCACTGTGGAAAACAGACCACATGCAAATGAAAAAGGCCATAAATCTCTTAAAGATAGCATTTTATCACCTTGAATAAGTAAAACCAGTGATTCCTGAAAGGTTGATGTGAGGCAAGGGTTACTTAGTCACACTGGCCAGGGAAAATCCATAGCTTGTGAACAGCAAGCAAAGGTCTGAGAGTTGTTCTTCCAGGCCAAGGAATCAGCAAGTGCAGAGCTCCTAAAGTGGTGAAAAGTTAGAGGAATGAAAAGGCCAGTGTAACTGGAGCATATTCAACAAAGACGTGCTTGAAATATCAGTATGATGTTGAAAAACATCACTTTTGGGGGGAGATGTCTGTCGTTAATTCTTTTCTGAGTTAGAAGGAAAAAAACGCTAACTTATTTTAGATGTAGAAGATGATAATTAGGGCTTTGGTTTCTGTAGGTCAGTGGTTAACAAACTATTGGCCACCTCTGTGGCCCAATCCATCACTGCCTTGTTTTATAAATAAAGTTTTATTGGCACACAGGCACATCCATTCATTTATGTACTGTCTGTGGCTGCTTTTGCAAAAAAAAAAAAAAAATGGCAGTGGAATAGTGCAACAGAGACCACATGACCATGACATGCTTGCAAGCCTAAAATATTTAGTGTCTGGTCTTTTCTAAGCTTGCTTATATATGTATGTATATATATATATATATGCTTATATAAGTTTGCTGACACCTGCTATAGTTACACTCCATTCAAGGCGTGTGTGCATGAGTGCTCAGTCGCTTCAGACATGCCTGACTCTTTGCAACCCTATGTACTAT